GGGGGGGAAATATATATATTTCCCCCCCTTCTCAACCCTGGAAAAAAATGTCTCCAGCTTTAGTCCATAGCTTTAACCAATCATTAAGGTATTCCTTCTTGAGGCCGAAGAAGAAAACTAAATTACTTGTTCTTTCAGGAAAAATAAAAATAGCTTGGAGCACATCTGGATTTACTCCAGTTTCACTTGAGTGCCAGCACTGGCTTGAGACTCATCCTAGGATCAACTTCAAAGGAGTTTTCAGAAGCATCTTTTGGAAACTGGCTATTTTCTTCTCTCTCTCTCTCTTTTTTTTTTTGGAAAGCTTGTGGTAATTGTTGCTAGGCAAATAAGGAATACAGATTCCACCAGCCCACAAAACGGTGATCCATTTGTGTGCATCGGATCATCTGGTTGATGAGTCTGGCATATGACTTGCCCAAAAAGCAGTTTTGGGCAATAGCTAGGAAGGGATTAACGTGACACCTCTTTCCCCATCATTCTCCATTATATTTTTTGCTGCATTTTTTTTTGTAGATTCTGATTACAGACAGCCCAAACCTGAGGGTGAAGGTACTAGCACCCCACTTTTTTCCTCCTACCAGCTCTGTAGTAACGCATGGCACCCCGTGTACCCATCCATCCCCTCCGATCAGGAAGCCACGTAGAACTAATCTGCCTTCTTGTAACCTCCGCCACTAACGTTTTTAATTTCACCGTTGCACTCTCGCCCGTCAAGTAATCTACTAATGAGAATCATACACGTGCCTACGAAAGCTCATCACACCTGTCGTGTTCCCCAAGAAAATTCTCGGCATGCGATGTCTCCATTGTGTTACTCCTCTTGTCTGTCTGTCTTGCATTGAATCAGCGAAGAGGGGAATAAACCACAGGTTTCTATCATTTTTCTCTATGGCTTATGCACAAATTAAGCACTTGCTCGGTTTTACTTCCCTGGGTGCATTCAACTTTTATATGTAGATAATTAATATTAGGGATCCAACTTTGGTGGTGGTAAGAAAGAAAGAAAAAAAGTCCTTCTCCCAGTTTGGAAGACCAGGACATGGCAGGAAATCTCAGTATTATTACAATTTTGCACAGCTCGTTTGTCGGTTTGATTCTGGCTTAGCTGAACTGTCTTGGTTCTGCTCTTAGTTTCTTCGGCATCTGCGTAAAACTGAACGTGATTGTTTTCCAAGCAATGTACATAACAAGATTTACGTCCCAAAGGTGCTTTTTTCAAAGGCAACCTTGAATGGTGCAAAAATGGGCACGGAAGCTTTTTGGGATTGGTGAAAAGACTGTGTTGTAAACAGACGCTTATCCAGGTGACCAGGTGAGGGCACAGATAAACCTCCAAGTGGCCTCCAGGACTCTCAGAGAGAGCGTTAACGACTGCAAGGAATATCAATGCTTCTCTCCTCCACCGTTCCGTCGGAACCGAAGAAGCTTCTTGGGTGAGAAGCGAAACGACTTCAAGGAAAAACGAAGCCCGGTTGCCTTTTGAAAAAGCACCTTGGGGAAAACCATGACCTGGGAGGCTGAGAATCTNAAAAAAATTGAATTTCACCACTGCCTTGTACCACTCTTCATGCACCCCCGAGTCTCTTCTGCAATCCTGCACCTCTTTCGGATGCCATAGGTTTTGTCACCATGCTTCGGAAGATGGACATTAACATCCATCAAAGCAGGCTGGGAAAGAATCCTAAGTGGGAACTCACCTTCATACCTTCCTGCAGGTGTCATTTTCCTGTTTGTGGACCCACACGGAGGGTTTTGTCTCTTCCGTTGCGGGGGCCTGCAGCCGGGGTGGGGGGCAGAAAACACCCATCATCCTCAGCAACCAAGGAGAGAGGCAACCTAGAACTCAGGAGAAATTTCCTGACAGTGAGAACAATTAACCAGTGGAACAACTTGCCTCCAGAAGTTGTGGGTGCTCCCAACACTGGTGGTTTTTAAGAAGAGATTGGACAGCCTTTGTCCAAAATTGTAGAGGGTTTCCTGCCTGAGCAGGGGGTCGGACTAGAAGACCTCCAACGTCCCTCACAACTCTTGTTAGTTTGCAACCATTTGGCTTTGAGTAGCTACCCTTGCCAGTCTGCCTTTATAGCGAGCCACAGTGCCGCAGTGGTTAGAGTGCAGTACTGCAGGCTACTTCTGCCGGCTGCTGGCTGCCTGCAATTTGGCAGTTCGAATCTCACTAGGCTCCACGTTGATTCAGCCTTCTCTCCTTCCGAGGTAGGTAAAACGCAGACCCAGATTGTTGGGGGCAAGAGGCCGACTCTGTAAACCAGTGGTTCCCAAACTTGGCAACTTTAAGACGTGTGGACTTCAACTCCTAGAATTCTCCAGCCAGCTCTGCTGAGCTGGCTGGAGAATTCTGGGAGTTGAAGTCCACACGTCTTAAAGTTGCCAAGTTTGGGAACCACTGCTGTAAACCGCTGAGAGAGGGTTTTAAAAGCACTGTGAAGCGGTATATAAGTCTTAAGTGCTATTTCTATAGTGGACTATCCTCTTATTTTATCCCAGCTGCAGATCCATTCCAAGGTTTTCTATTTCAGGCAAGGCCCCTCCTTGCCAATTGGGATCTCATTCCTAGTCCTTGTTTCCTTCCATCCTTTTCCCCCCCCCCAGGGATGGAGCCTCTGGTTCTGGCAGCCATCCCATCAGGGCCGGGATGAGAGTGAGGAGCCAGCCAGTTCATCAGTGGCAAGTCCTTGGCAAATCCTTGCCGGATAATAGGATCCAGCTGGCAGGAGGGGAGGAGAGATGGGGGGGGGGGGAAATGTTCCCCACCCAACTCGGGATGTTGCCTCTGGTTGCATCATCCTTGCCGAGTGTATAAAACACCCCTGGCAGCCCCCTTTCCCCTCCAGTTGCTGTATGCCAGTCCATCCTGCAGTCGCTTTCTCCGGCTAGAGAGAATATGTTTATTTGCCTTTCGAATATTTTTCTGCTTCTACTGGGCCAAAATGGGGCTGCATTACCGGTAGGTTTTCCAGAAATGAAAACATGGGGTGGTGTGGGGCAGTGGGTGGTTTCGAGAGGCTGCTGCCCCCAGAGGGGAGAAAAGGGGCTTCGCTGTTATGTAGAGGGCCAGCCATACTGTTACTTTTCAGAGCCTTTTGGGCCACAACTCCCATCAGCCCCAGCCGGCAACAAAGGGTTCGTGGGAGCGGATTCCCCAAAAAACCTGCTGTCGGTGGTTAGTTCCGAAAAAGCAGATTGAATCGTTAAAAGGCCGAGGACAGAGGGTTGAAATCCCCACTTCCTCGGCAGCGCTGTAGGCCAGCTGTGTTTAACCTCTGGACAAACCGCTGGATTGGAAGGATTGCAAAAGGTGGGGTCCCGAACGTGTCATTCGCTTCCTGATTTTTTTCTTTCTTTCTCTTTTCTCTCCCCATCGGTTCCAGCCTCACCATTTCTACCGACGAGGAAAAAAGGTAGGCGACCAACAGGTGCAGAGTGGTGTGGGTGTGTGTGTGTGTGTTTCTGGGAGGAGGAGGGGCGGAAACACACTTTTTCACTCTCCTACATGCAACCGGATGTGGCTTTGCAGCACATTTGAGTTCTGTGCCTCAGGAAGTTGGAGGAGGGGAAGAAGAGAAACAGTCATTTTAACCCTTCCAGGTTTGAGAAAGTCCCGGCTGCTTTAAAAGCATCAAAGTCAACTTTCACCAGTGCCCCGACCGTTTTGGCTCACGCTGCAAGTGGCCCTCAACTTACGACCACAACGGAGCCCCCCCCACCCCCAAATTTCTGTAGCTCAGCGAGACAGTGGTTAAAGTGAATTTCCCACCCCCATTCAACGACTTTAACTTACCACAGTTGTTAAGAGAATCACTGTGGCAGTTAATTGAATAACTCTTTTGCTAAATGCATGGACTTCCCATTATCAGAGGGTCTCAAAAGGGAAATCACACGACCCCGGGACACTTCAGCCGTCCTAGATACAAGTCAGTTGCCAAGCATCTTATAGAGAGCCGAGGTGGCGCAGTGGTTAAATGCAGCACTGCAGGCTACTTCAGCTGACTGCAGTTCTGCAGTTCGGCTGTTCAAATCTCACCGGC